TGTCTGCAGGTTGTCAGGTTGTTTGATCACAGACAAAGCTTGTGGTTCTCTCGTCTCAGCTCTGAGCTCCAACCCTTCTTATCTGAGGGAGCTACAATCATCCAGGACAGGAACAAGTAAAGCAGCTGTCCGCTATACTGAAGGATCCATCCTGGGGACTCCACACTCTTAGGTATAAGACTTAGGTAAGTCTTTTGCAGCCACAGCCTGTCTCTGATATAACAGTAATAGATGACAGTTCTTTCTGTCCTTTATTCCCTCTGGTACACTTGCCTCATTGCTCGATGTGTATCATATTTGGACATAAAACATGTATGAGCTCCATCAAAAGAGTAAACTAACATATTAGTCACATGAAATAATTAAGCATCAGCATTTGACTTCATCTAATTAAAATGTATTGCACTGCTATGCTGCTGTTTCTGACTGTTACTGTTGAAACTGTGCTCCCTTAAAAGAATAAGGGAGCACTTATCTTTCACTCATAGTTACTGGTTGGGTGAAGCCATTTATTAAACAACTGTGTTTGCCTGTTTTAAAAATCTTACTGAAGACAGAAAATACCAACATGACCCAAATTCAAAGTTTACATACCCTAGTTCTTAATAAATAAATAAAAACATGTGGATGTGTGACCCTCCAAGAAGATGCTTCACACAACCATCACAGACATGCTGGCTCGTGCAGTGTAACGTTGGCCAAATTTGTTTGCTCTTAAGGTGGAGTGCTTCTTTCTAAAAATGCTCATCAAGGATTGTGTGATTGTTTTTTATTTAGCAACTAAAGTGCCTACAGGCAGCTGTTGTCATGACTGGGACTCTAAAAAATCATTCAGTTGAACTGATATTAATTTAATCACTGGTTAAATCACTTGTTTAGTCTATTTGTTTGTTTTATAAATTATGGACTTATTTATTAAACAAACTATTTTATGAAACAAACAAAAATGTATCAGTACTTTGATATAAATGAATTATAATAATTTTGAATCTATAAGGCCGTGCTGAATCTATATGGTGAAGCTGTGCTGCCCATAATATGTACCTTTCAGACCACATCACCGTGAGTTCATTTTGGGGATTATTATTTTTTTTAATACTTTTCACACAAACTGAAGACTAAAGTAAATAACATGCTTACAACAAAAAAGTCAAAATGTCTGCTCAGTCTGCAATTTTTATAAATATGTTGGACTGCTCCTTTATCAGTGTCTATCTGTATGTGTATGAGAGCGATGTAGTGTCCATGTGTGCATGCTGAAAGAGACTGTGCTGGCCTGACCCCCTCCTCCTTTCAGGGTGGAGCCTGCTGGAGTCCGATGGTTGAGACCAGGCCTGAGGAAGTGTAAGTGTGCTTTTAATGTGATTCATGAAAACAAAGCAGCACACATTCAACCATCTTCAAACTGTCACATCATTCATTCACATCTCTGATGTCAGGAGTCATCATCAAAGTGTCAATCAATGAACAGATGATGGATCAATAACTGCAGCTGGATTGTGTTTGTTCTCTCCATCAGATTCCTGTCGACTCACAATCGACACAAACACAGTACACAGAAATCTCAAACTGTCTGACAACAACGGGAAGGTGATATTTGTGTGGGAGGGTCTTCCATATCCTGATCATCCAGACAGATTTGATTGCATCTGTCCTCAACTGCTGTATAGAAATGGTCTGACTGGTCGCTGTTACTGGGAGGTCGAGTGGAGAGGAGGAGTTTTCATATCAGTGAGTTACAGAACAATCAGAAGGAAGGGGAGGACAGGCTGTGTGTTTGGAAAAAATGATCAGTCCTGGAGTCTGAGCTGCTCTGATTATTGTGGTTACTCTGTGTGGCACAATAAGCAAAAAACATCTATTTCTCATTCATCCCATTCCTCCTCTGTCTCTAAGAGAGTAGCAGTGTATGTGGATCATCCTGCTGGCACTCTGTCCTTCTACAGAGTCTCTGACACTCTGATCCACCTCCACACCTTCAACACCACATTCACTGAACCTCTTTATCCTGGATTTACGGTCTCATTTGGTTCTTCAGTGTGTCTGTGTGTAGTTTAGTATGAATAGTCTTGTTGAACATTTCAGTCAGTACATGTCTGTCTCTCACAGTCAAAAACATGTTTCAGATTCATGGATTCAATCAGTTGATGTTTTAAATGATGATGGAAACTTCAGTTATTGAAAAATGGAATCTATGATTATCCCAGGATTCTTTTTTTTTGTATGTTATGTTTCTCTGAAGTTTAGTTCATCTCATAATCTTTATATGATACCTCTTCGTTTAATAACCGTAAGTATAACATTGTTATTCAGATTTATAAAGAAGTAAATTTCATGATACTG